AACAGGGAGTCATCAAGGATGGGTCCTAGATTTCTAGGCTTGACTTGTTGGGGCATCCGGCCATGCCAGTTTTAGACACAGGAATGATCTCAAGAGGAACATATTTGTGTGTCTGCACAGAGTGGGGTGGCAAAGACCAGAAGCTCTGTCTGATTTGAAACGCTTGTGAGACATTCCAGTGGAAAAGCCAAGGAAGTCTGAGGTTCAGGAGAGAATTCTGAGCTGAGGCTATAACTTTAAAAATTGCCAGTACATAAAATTTGAAGGTCATGGGAAGGAGTGAGATCACCAAGAAAGAGTAGAAACAGAGAAGTCGGGAATAAATATCACAAGGCTTTAACATTCAACACTGGGAAGAGACCATGCAGCCAGCAAAGCATCCTGGGAAGAAGCAGCCAGAGGGGTAGGGACTGAGAAGAACCCAATGCATTTGGCTCCATAGAGGTCACTGGTGGTTCCGGAGGAGCAGTTCTGGTGGAGAGGTAGGAAGTCAGAAAGCACAAGAACAGGTCCCCAGATAACATTGCAAGAGGAAAAGGGATGGCCTTTGGGGAGGAGCAGGACAGTGTCCTTTTGTTCAGGGGGCAGAGGGGAAAGGATGTAGGGAGATCAAAGCAGTGGTGTGGATGCCGTATTGGAAAGATTCATCTATCCTGTTGGAAGCCAGTCATCCGTGGTATGCTCTAGAGAGATAAGGAGGAGTAAGATACAGAATAAGGGTCAAGTTTTTCACTCAAAAAGTCGAGAAGATAGAAAACGAGATCTCATGGTATCTGCTATTATAAAACCTGAGATGGAGGTAATTACAGGACATTGAGGGAGACCAACATGAAACGACAGCACCAGGTACTGATCTAAGTTACGTCTATATAATATGATACCTAGACAAGCCGCCAAATAAGGACACAAAGAGATATTACACATAAACATTACAGAGAAGATGAAATCATATTCCCCAAAATGTTCAGGAAACCCACAGAAAAACAGCAAAAATGAAAAAACAAAGAACATACCAAAAAAGGGAGGGGAGCAGACTTAAGCCTTAACATACCTATAACTACATTAAATGTAAATGGTCTAAATGCTCCAATTAAAAGAGAAATTGGCAGAGTTGAGGAAAATATGACTTAACCACATGCTGTCTATAAGAAACTCACTTCAAGTATAAAAATATAGGCAGATCGAAAGTAAAAGAATGGAAAAATCRCACTATGCAATCATTAAAACAAAAACAAAAACAAACAAATAAAAAGGAGTAGCTATACAGAAACCAGAAAAAGCAAAGAGCAAAGAGAAATGGCCAGAGAGGTAGGGTGGAACACTACATAATGATAAAAGAGTCAATTTGTCAAAATATGGAATCCTATATATTTATATGCACCAACTAACAGAGATGGAAAATACGTAAAGCAAAAACTGATAGGATGGAAAGGAGAAATAAATCCACAAATAAAGCCAGAGACTTCAACACTATTCTGAACAATTGATAGAGTAACTAGACAAAAAGATAGAAACTCAATAACATCAAACTCAACAACATTAAATAGGATGCAATTAATATTTACAGAGCATTCCACCCAACAATAGCTGAGTTCACATTCTTCTAAGTGCCCATAAAACATACTGATATAAGCCAAATTTGAATCATAAAAAAGCTTCAACAAGTTTGTGAATTGAAGTCATATAGTGTATGTTTTCTGACCACTATGGAACCAAACTAGAAATCAATAAAAGTAAGATTAAAGCAGCTCTCTATAAACAGCTGGACATTGAATAACACACTTCTAAATGATCCATGCATCAGAGAAGTTGTTTCATTGAACTAAATGGCAATAAAAACACAACATGTCAACATTGGTGGGATAAAGCCACAGTGGTGTTGAGAGTAAAATGTGCAGCATTAAATGCTTACATTATAAAAGAGGATATCTCAAATCAATAATCAAAGCTTAGATTAGATTAAGTTAAAAAAAACATAAAGTTTCAGGGCTAGGGATATAGCTTACTGGTAGAGCCCTTGCCTAGCATATGTGAGGCCCTGTGTTCAATCCCCAGCACCACACACATGCACACAAATAAAATCTAAACTTTCCCAATGAAATGGATCGACTGGCAGAAGGAGGGAAATAATAATGATAATTAATCATTGAAATTAAACATTGAAAAAAATCTATCTAAACAGAGAATAACAATGAAACAACAACAAAAAACTATTTTAAAAATAGATAATCTCTAGTAAGACTGACCAAAACAGAAAAAGAAAAAAAGAAGATAAATGATAAGTACCAGGAATGAAATGGGCTAGTATTACCGATCTGTATGCATCGAAAGGATAATAAAGAAATGCTATAAATAACTCTAGACCTGTAAACATGACAATTTAAATGACACAGAGTAATTACTTGAAGAGCACACATTATTACAACTGATTAATTAGCTCATTAGAAATCCAAGAAACAATATAACTATTAAGGAAATAAAATTTGTAAGCTTTAAACATTTCCAAGCACACATGGCTTCAGTTCCCAGTCTGCTTTATCTCCAAGAGCACTGGGCACTGGGGGAAGAGGCAGCGTCAGATGGGAGCATCCAAACACACCAGGAGTCCCCAGATCTCTGCAGGAAGACAAACAGGTGTAGCAGCTTGGAGCTCTTGTGGGAATCTCTTTATTACAGCGGCTATTACAGGTCAGCTGGACCGACATTCACAAGGACAACCAGCAGTCATGGAAGATAAGGTTAAGGACCTTTGTATATATGTTTACCAGAGCAGGGAAGTAAGCAGTATGTTTTCAAAAGACTTTGGGGTAGGGGAAAAATTCTGATTACACCTGGAAAAATCACTTATGGTAAGCATTTAGTCATCTTTCGATGACAGAGAAATGAAGTGTGCATATGTGTGCTGCATAAGTATGCAGGCTGCATTATTTCAGGGGAAAATCTTACTTTGGTCTTGGAGAAAGAGAGAGGAAAAAAAACCCCACTCCATATCATTAGTCTTTTTTAAAGGTAGGGAATTACAATTTTGTGATTAGACTAGGAAATAATTATAGGCCAAAGTAGGACAACTTAATAGAATTAGTGCTGAAGAATTAACTTAAACTACACACACAGAACCACCGTCTGGGGTCTTGATTACGAGATAGGGATTACTGCAGACAAATAATTCATCCTGTCAGTTCCTTTCATTGCAAAAAAATAGGAAGGGATCAAATAAGCAAGAATCAAGGACCTGACTTTCATATTCACAGCACAAGATTATTAGTGGCTGGAGATTGGAAAGCAATAGTCAAAAGCTTCTGACTGTTTTAGAGAAAGTGTATAAGCATGTGTTTTAAAATTGGGTTTTCATTGGAAATATTTCCTGGAGATGGCTCCAGAATTATTCCTAATTAAGAAAAGTTTACTAGATCCAATAGTCTGTGAATCTTTTTTTTCTAATATATAACATACATAATTTATGCTTTTGACAGAATTTAATCCCTACTATGCTTATCTGAGCTTCAAAGAGATGAAACAATCTGCTATTTTTTTAAAAAAAATATGTATTTTATAGTTGTTGATGAACCTTTATTTTATTCATTAGTTTTTATGTGGTGCTGAGAATCGATCCCAGTGCCTCACAGGTGCCGGGCAAGAGCTCTACCACCGAGCCACGACCCCAGCCCCCAAATCATCTGCTTTTATTCAGACAGATGAGAAACCAAAATCAGGAGTAGGATTTGTTACCTAACTCACTGCTAAGAGTGCAGTGTTGTGGTGTCTCACTGCCTAGTGTAGACACCTAGAAATAAAGGAACTGATCTGTCACAAATGCAAAGCCTCTGGTGGCCCTCCCTGCCCCCGCCAGCCTTCCCTCCCTGGGGTGTCCTCTGATTGCCCATCTGATCTCCAGATTCATGGAGCCCTTCTCACACCCCTGCTGCCCCAGCTCCCCCAGCAAGGAGAGGACCCCACAGTGGTGACCCCGGGGCCACATTCTGCTCAGACACCTGGAAACTTTCCTTTCCTCTCATTTCTCCTCCTTCTTGCTTGCTCTCTCTGCATTATTTGTATTTTATCTAGACAGTGAATCACTCATGCAGCACTCCACGGAACCTCTGCATCTACTTTGCTACATTAAAATCAGTTGAATGGCGTATGTATTTGGTATTGCATGTAAAAATGACTTATTAAAAAAAAAACCTCTTGGAATTGTCTTCCCACTCATCCTGTTTATCCAAACTTGACAACACCCAATCCAGGTGATGAGAAAAAGGAAACAGAAGTGTAAGGGAAATCTGGCTCCGGTGTTTTCAAACTTGCTTTACAACACCAGCGTTTTCTGAAATGCAGGGTAGAAGTGATGAATGCTGAGTGGATATTTTTTCACCTTAACTGACTGATCAGAAGAGTATTTATAACCCCCCTGACGGATGTCTCAAGCTGATAAATCAACACCGAGGGAGAATATTTCAAGCACATTTATCATTTAAGACAAACAGCCCGGACTGCGCGTGATCATTTTTTATTCATCATTTTAGCTCACCTCCACATTTGCTTCTTCTCAATGTTAATAATATCTGTATAAAGCTGCTCAATATTTAATGTTACAGCTTGCCTGCTGCATGCCGATGAGCTAAAGGTCACGTGTTTGAGCTCTACAAGGCTGGGTTAGCTTAGCCAAAAAAGAAAGAAAAGGAAAAAAAAAAAAAAAAGGAAAAGAAAAGGTGGTGGGGGTGGGGAGAGGAAGGGAAGCCTGATTCTGGTCCGCTTCCTTGTACAAATAGACTCGTTGCTGGTCTCCCTGTCACAGGACATCACAGAATTAAAGTTTTAAGGGGAATGAAGGCCAAGGTATTTCAACAAACTTGCCCAACTGCACAGAGGCACACGATCAATGGAACCTTCTAGAGAAGCACAATCCCGTCTCTGCCACTCAACTCGCGTCCCCGCAGAGCCGGCTGGTGAGTGGCAGCCCTGTCCCACCCGCAGGACGGCGACTGACAAGAACGTCTTACCTGTTCACCCTCCTCTTCATCGCTACTTAGCTTAAGGTCATCTTCCAGCATTCTGAAAGGGACAGAGAGGTACAGGTACTTAGTAGTTTCAAGATCACTTAACACCAAAAAGTGTCACCTTTCTAAGAGCGACGTTTCAGTAATAATAAAAGTCTGCTTGATTTCCTAATTATTAGTTTTTTCTTTCTCTCTTAAGGGCTTTTCCTCCGAGCCACCAAGGAAACAGCAGATAGGGTCACCACGAAAATCAGCCCTGGCGACAATCACGGGCCGAGATGGGAAGCTTCCAGAATGAGTGGATTTAGACAAAATGAACCAAAGGGGGCTTTTCCCTGGGGCAGTTTTAATTTCACAATTACTTGTTTATTGTTTTTTCATGTCCAGGGGCTGGGCTGTGTCCCTGTGCCTGCCTGGGGTGGGGAGTGGGGGCGTTCATGGTAAAGAAAATGGAAGACTAAGTAGCACTCTACTGGGAGCCGTGCAAAATAACCGTGAGCTGCGAGCAACCCAGCCTTGGTCCTCCACCTGTGTAGGTGAGGGCTGGAGAAGTCATCTGCCCCAGACCCTGCTGGGCTGAGAAAACCCAGTGGGAGGCGCTTTGGGGGCCACTCCCCACCCACTCGGGGTGCCTCCGATGATTCTTCCTAACAGAAGCAGTGAGTCCATGAAAGCTAAGAGAGAAAAAGAGAAACGCAACTTCAGACCCGATTGTTTCTGATGATGAAAAACTGTATTCTTATCAGCATCTCTGAGTTATTTCTTTCTATAATAGAAGTTTTCAAATAGACTTATTTATTGAAAAAGAAATCTCATTCAGAAATGCCATCTCTAAGGAACTGTATCAGCGGAGCTGTCCTAGGGCCCACGCTGCATGCACCGGGGGCTCCACACATGGGTCTGAAGGCAGCTGAGCCCTGGTGCTTGAAGACCTCATTGTCCTCCTTGAAGTCGGCTTCCCAAGACTGTCCCCCAACTCGGGTCTGGGGTTCTGTAAATGCCAATGATAGGCCTATCATCAAAAGATGCCCCGGGATGTTTTTATAACCCATGGTCGGGATTTCAGTGAGGATGCAGGCAGGGTGTGCTCCAGGTGTCCATGCGAGTTACTTGACCTACCCTCTGCCCACCGGTCCCCTTATCCCTATTTGTAAATAGGTGATCTTGAGTGTGTGATCCTGCTTTAGAGTCTGAGAGTCTGTGAAATAAATTTGCTTTTCCTATTTCATAGTCAAGAAAAATGGAGAACACAGCTAAGACATTTCTGTTATTTCTGATGGACAAGTGGAGTCATTACCAGCAGGACACCAATTCCGTGTCCCCCTAGGCCCCTCAACCCTCCCAGTGGGGGTGCACCTCATTGCTCTAGTCTTCAAACCCCAAGGAAACACCGAGTCAGCCTGGCGGGGGGGGGGGGGGGGGGGGGGGGGGGGGGGCTGCGGGGCTCCCTGACATCACTGTGTGCTCCTGGTAAGTGGCTTATTTTCACAAACCCACACACTTGGCTTCTCAGAGAAGAGCCATCTTGGTGATTTATCAGCGCACCCTTTGGAAATAATCTAGGGAAGAGGACTGTGTTTCCTTTGTCCTTGCACAGTGACGGCGCAGAGGACAACCCCAGTTGGTTGGCGAGGCCACAGCACTTTCCCTAAGACCGATTTCTATCAAGACACAAATGTTTTTCTGATTCAAAAAAAGACCACAAAAGGAGGCAATTTCTTGGCTCCACTCCTCATCTCTTCTTTTGAGGTAAACTACCCATCAATCTCCAGGATGCAGGGCGAGCACCGAGTGTTCTCAGAGTGGGTGGTCCTACGGGTGGGTGGGCAAAGGGAGGGGAACACACACCATCAGCATGAATCACCCTTTGTCATGGAGATCACATCAAGGGTGACAGGAAACTTAATCTTTGTATGTGCATGGTGTGCACCGCTCTGAAGACCCTGCCAACCAGAGCAAGACACCTCGGGGTGCCCTGCTGTAGGGGTCTTAGCCTGGCTGTATCATTGGAGGACACTTGTCACCCGATGAGGCCAGCAGTGTTGCAAGCCACCACAATGGCAAAGGCAGTGTGTGAGGTGCTCTTTTAAGGGAGGGAGCAAAGCGAACTTTTGTTTATTTTAAACGCGTTCTAAATGTGTTGCAATGACCTGAATGTGATCCTCTGACATTCATGATTTGAGAAGTTAATCCAAAAAATCAGATGTGGATGGTATTTGGAGATGGGGCCTTTGTTAGGTGACTATTATTAGAGGAGCCCATGAGGGTAGGACTCCACGATGATGATAGTGGCTTTAGAACAAAAGGAAGAAAGACGTGAGCTAGCACAGTTGTACTGTTTCTCTACATGACGCCCTCCACCATGTTAGGAAGCAGCAGGAAGGCTCCCACCAGATGCCAGAGCCATGTGCTCGGACATTTTACCATCTAGAACCATGAGTCAAATAATTACCTGGTCTCAGGTATTTTGTCATAGCAGCAGAAAACAGATAAAGACATGAATCAACATATAAACACACATCTATTTGATTCTCATACTGCCCCTCATACTCCCAGATCCTGGGCAAGTCATATCTCTGGGTCTTGGCATTTCTAATAATGGGACTCCTTTACTTTTGTCAGTATTTCTAGAAGAAAAGCAACCAGGGTTCCACATTGCTCTGTGCGTAACAATCATTTGATCACTTAATTTTTTAAAAAAAGAATTCATTGTGTTTCTGACTAAGTTCTAAAAAATTAAGAATCACATGTGTATTAGTCTATTTTTTGTCACTCTAAGAAAATGCCTGAAGCTGGGTACTGCACAAAGAAAAGAGCCTTATTTACTTAACAGTTTTGGAGGTTAAAATTCCAAGATCAGGTGGTCTCATCTGTTTGGTTTCTGGTGAGGGTTCCCTTGGCAACGTCACAATGTAGTACATGGTATAGTAGAGATCACATGGTGAGACGGGAAGCCAGAGAGGGATTCAGGCTTGCTCTTGTAAGAACTAACTTGCTCCATCAGACCAGCATGAATCCCTTCTGAGGGGATTAATGACCAGCTCTTACCATGACCACTCTGGAGACCAAGCTTCCAGGACATAAGCCTTTGGGGAGCACAAATCCTATCCAACCCCCAGTAGCAGATAAAAATACTTCTAAAGAGACTTCAAGATAAGTCCAAATCCAATGAAACCCCAGAATCTCTCAGGAAGTGAGAAAACGACCAAGGTGGTACCACACTGAGCAGCTGTACTCACTCCCAAAGCCACCCTGGGCGGGGCTGTCACCAAGACACGGAGCCACAGCCCTGGATGAGTCAGTCACAGCCACCCTGCGCTCCGACACCCGACAGGTGCACGGTACCCGCTGAGAGAGCTGAGGCTCCATGTCCCATGCCACCCAGAGCACAAGCCCTCGGGTCCCCTGGGCTCAGCTTCTGAAGAACAGCGCAGCTTCCCTTTTGCCACACCCACCTCTGGTGGGACCCTCACCAAGCTGGCCATTTTTAATGCTGAACCTATCAGGAATCTGACACAACCCTTCAGGCGGCCTGAGGACAGGCAATGTTTTGAGGTCACCGCTGAACAACAAAACTTTGTTAGAGAGGGAAAGAGAAAAACGATGTCACTCTAGGGACATGGGACCGGCCATGTTTGGCGTGTGGCAAGGAGACTGCGGGTCATGGTCCCACACAATCGGCACTGCTGTGCTAACGCCCCATGACCTGCTCCTGGTCCCTGGGGCATATTTTGATCATTTGTCTATTTCCAAAAGGAAATGGATTGGTGTGGGTACTTTAAAGAACAAGCAAACAAAAATGTCAAACCAAGGGTGGAAAGGAAAATGGAAATTGGAGTGTTGATTAGGCCTTGGACAGAGACCATGGATCTCTGATACCGTTTTGGATAAAGGAGGGCAAAGATCGATGCTCTAAAGGGACAGGATGGAGTTTGGGATGGGTCACCTGCACCTAAGTACGAGGTCTGTGCTCGGGCATCTCACCTGGCTCATGCGGCACCTTCCACACACCTCACCCTCAGCACCTCCAGGCCTTCCTCCGCCGGTTCCTTCCCTTCCATCCCTTAGAACCCTCCTGGGCGAGGGAACCCCAGGCTCGCAGGGGCCGCTGTCACGGTTAAATGGAGGCTTGCTGAACGGAGCAGCTAGGCACTCTCTAGATGTTACCTCGTCCACTCCCCAGGGTGATTCCTACTGGTGGGGTGTGCCCTGCTTCAGAGGTCACAGTCAGCAATGCCATTTTCTCCAGATCTCAAAATTGGGATGCACCAGCACACGTAACCCTAGCAGAAGCAACTGCCTTGTTAAAGGTGAATTCAGTAGCTGTCAGAAAATGGAGGAATTTGACACAACCCTCTCAAGTTCAGCATTTTATTATCATAACTTCCCCGCCTGCATTATTTTTCTTAATCGAGCAAGAAACAAATCTATGTTGTCGCTGACGCTCACCTTTCAGAGGCCTGAATATCTCAGGAAGCAGAAATACCAGGCTTCCCTGAACAGACGGGCCTCTGCTGCTGATGCTTATCTGAATCCAACACAGGAACCGCACACGGGCACAGTCAGCATCTCAGAGCAGTGGTTTTTAATGAATAGGATTTCCCCTGAATTACCTGTCATTTGGGGCCCTTAGAAGATCTGAATCCTTTAGCCCTCTAAAGTTCATTTCATTTTGCTTCATCTGAATGGCTTTTAAAAAAATCTACGTTTTAATTGGGCTGTTTGATTTTCAGATTTGTGTCTGCAGCGGGAGCTGCTACCATCTCCACCTATTTGAGATTAAAAGCCAGAGACAAATGTTTATGAATCCCCATTAACCGTATTCATATATGCAAATATCTATTCTAGTAATTAGCAACGTGTGATACAGCCTGTTTGTTATGCAAGCACACCCCTCTGCAGGTATTCCCAGGTGGACAACTCTGCTGCTTAGAACACGGGAGAGAACATGAGACCACTCATTTCGTCCTTCTTGAAGTCCACTGAGCTGTCAGGGTCAGTGCTACCATCTTCCTGGAGTTCTGTTCTTTTCTTTCTTTCTTTTTTTAGGTACTG